TAGTCATAATTTAGTTCAATACTCTAAAAAGAATGATTAAAACTAAAATGTATAATTTTAGGAGTGGGTCATCTATTTAGGCCAGCTTCAGATTGTATTCTTCTTGCTCATGCTTGATGCTCAAGTGAGGATTTGGATCTGATGTTTTTGATGTATCGCAGACAAGAGTGCGATGCAGGAGCCACTGTGATAAAGTACATGAAGTGAAAGGGCAATTGTGATAGAGTGCATTAAGTGCAGGGGCCATTGTGATTGAGTGTATGAAGTGCAGGGGCAATTGTAATGGAGTGCATGGTGCAACAGTTGTAATGGAGTGCATGAAGTGCAGGTCCAGCTGTAATGGAGTGCATGAAGTGCAGGGCCAGTTGTAATGGAGTGCATTAAGTGCAGGGGCCATTGTGATTGAGTGTATGAAGTGCAGGGGCAATTGTAATGGAGTGCATGAAGTGCAGGAACAGTTGTAATGGAGTGCATGAAGTGCAGGGCCAGCTGTAATGGAGTGCATGAAGTGCAAGGTTCATTGTGATAGAGTGCATGAAAGAGTACCAGTGACTAAACTGTGAGCAGCATGAAGATCTGGAACAAGAATTCAGTGAGTAGGACCAGATCATAGACATAAAATGGGAAAAAGAAACAACAGGTGCAGAGACCTATCGGTGGAAAAGATACAGTGGATGGGCATTCAGTTCTGAAACAACTATCAGCTTCACAAAGAGGTCAAAATGGCAGGTTTCATAATTCTCACAGCACTGGTCTTCTTTTAAGTCAAATTACAGTGGCCACCAAGATGGGGATCTCTCTAATGGAGATAATTAGTAGGGAAGAACTGAAATATTTTATTACTGTTTGTGTCTCTTTTGAGAAATGGTGTAATCTAGGTTCACATCTGTGCAGGTGGTGCTGGTGCGAATCTGCACAAAAATACGTGCAGCCGCACAGAGGAATGCGGACCCACGAGCGGGTGACATAAATTCTAATGGCACATTGCCTGCACTGGAAATCGCAACCATACTGGGAACCTCTGCGTTTTCTGCAGAAGTGCAGGGACTTCTTCCTTGCGTGTTCTGGGTCATGGCAGTCCATTCAAATGAATGGGCTCTCATGTCCGCGCAAAACGTGGCCCGCACAGTCGCAGATATGTGAAACAGGGGTAAGGGGAAATAACCCCAACAGAAACCCAGGTTGCAATAAAAAACTGTCAGGTTAAGAATTAATAATAATATATTATTAATAATAATAACTAAACAATAAAATTATATTATAGGGATTGTATGTCTGTGAGTCTAGCTGTGTTTATTTTTATATTATATTTGCACCTTTGCGCCCATGAGTCTATTTTGTTTTGTTTTAAAATATCTGTAGGCTTCCCCCAGAACATTAATGCACTCTAACGTATCCAGGAATTGATCACACAACCATTGGTTCACTATTGCACTTTGAGAAGTAAACTTCACCCTCCACTGTAATGAAACATATTATGCAGCAGTGTGCTTGTTGGGACACATCTTCTTTAGTAGATCTCAGGAGCCTTAAAGCATACCTAATTTCTCCTATCCTACCATTCGCTGAGGACAGTGCCATCTTAGCCTCCATTTAGATCTGCAGTTGACATGGTGCTGTACACATGGGCAGCTATGACACTAGACATTTTAGGGCTTAAAAGATGAGTAAAAAGTTTGCAACTGCCGGAAAACAAAATTGTCATGTTTGATAAAGGATTTTATGACATTTTTTGTACACTTCTAACTTGAGATTTCCTTTAGGAAACTATTTAATTGGTGGGTTTAGTTCTGCTTTACTAGACCACCAAAATCTGTGTGTGTCAAATGGACAGGTCTTAATTTCCTGCATACCCATCTGTCACCCAATGCACATTGCAGCTTCTGCATCATTCAAGGAACCAATTATTGCACTTATGCTTTTTAGGGTTTCAAAAACACCCTTATGACACCGGTATAGTTCTCATTCCCTAACTGAAACATTTGTGTTGTATATTGTTTATTTTCTCAGCTATATTACATTTATTTTCTACCTCGTTTTACATTTCTTCTGTATCCTTTGCTTTCATATGAGTAATCTGCACAGGGGGGCTCTTATGCTTACAGTATTGGCTGCAGGTTAACACAGTAACCTGTCACTTTGAGTCATGCAGAGTGAAAGTACCAGAGAATTAGTGCCTACAGAAAAGTCTAAAGGCCATTTTATATTAACCCACTGACATAATAACAGAGAAAAAAACTGTAGATATAGAATTATAGAATAAATTACAATTATAAAAGCCTGATATACTATAAACTAAAGTGCATGTCTAAGTTAAATATAGAAACACCCAGGGGCCAGCTAATCCTTTTTTTAATTCTCACAATGTTCCAGAAATTACTAGGTCATTAAAGTGTTACTAAACCCACAACCGTAAAATCAGTCTGTATATGCAGTAAAGCATGCTTGTTATACTCACTGTGGAACCTAAAGGATTAATCCTCTGCATTGTGTAAAAATGCTGTTTGATCCTGACTTCTGATCCTCCCCTTCTTCCAGTGCATATGTGGAGACACTGCACATGCTCACTGCACTAGGCTCTGAGGAAGAGGCAAGTCCTCGAAACGCGTCAGCCTATTGGATGTCTACATTCCCATTTACGGACTGTTACTCAGCGCGGTGTTGACCCAGCTGTTCTTTTATGATGTGCCTCGACTATATTGTCGTTTGTGAGTACAACACCTATTTTATTTCTTATTAAACATTTTTTATGGTAATGCACTAGGCCTGTGCGCCCTCTCTTTGTTCTTTCCCCATACTGCACATGCTCAGTTTGGTGTATATTGCTGGATAGGTTTTTATCTTTTTTCTTGGGAGAGTGCATGTGATCAGCACAGGGCCAATCAACAAATCAACACTGCCCAGACAGAGGTCAGGGGTTCTGCACCCTCCTAGAGAAAACTCCTCCTGCAAGCTTTAATTAGTGCTCTGCTGAACACTAAAAGAAGTCACAAGACTGCTCTAATTACTGATGAGAAGTAATATTTTTTAGCAGTTTATATTTACTAAAATAATTGCATTTCTGTGTACTGTAGGAGACCAGATAAAGTGAATGCAGGGTCCTGGGTTTAGTAACTCTTTAAACAAATACAGGGATATTGATACATGTTGTATAATAACAAAAGAAGGAATGAGTTAAAGGTTACATATGCATGTAACAATGTTACAATCATATGAAAAATACAGTGTTTTGAATGCACTAATTATATAATGGAACAATAAAACAAGTCAGAAAATAGTGTGTATGTGTGTTATAAAACTGTTAATTAACAGGTCTTAACTGGTTCCCTATCGTGCTATAGCTGAAAGACGGTTACAGCACGGTTGTCTAGTTCTGTTCCATGGATCAGCAATCAACAAACTTGGGTCAACATCCTGACAAAAGCTCAAAGGATATCAGAGGCATAAATCCCAACAATGGGTTAGTTTACCTCCTGTTAATCCAATAAAAAGGCCCACTTTAGGATATACTTAAAGAAAACATGTAGTGTTTGCATTTAACCATTTGTCCTCCGGCAGATTTACCCCCTTAATGACCAGGCCATTTATTGCTATTCAACACTGCGCCAGTTCAACTGGTAATTGCGCGGTCATACAACACTGTGCCCAAATGAAATGTATGTCTTGTTTTGTTTGTTTTTTTCACACAAATGGAGCTTTCTTTTAGTGGTATTTTATCACCACTGGCTTTTTTATATTTTGTGATATGAGCAAAAAAATACCAAACATTTTGAAAAAAAAAGATATTTTATACTTTCAGTTACAAAAAATATCCAATACACTCAAAGTTAGTCATAAATTTAGGACAAAATTTATTCTGCTATGTCTTTGGTAAAAAAAAATCCCAATACGTGTATATTAATTGATTTGTGTGAAAGTTATAGCGTCTACAAACTATGGTATATACAGTATATTGGAATTTATGCGGCTTTTACTTTCTGACTGCCTCCCCACACACACACACCAGTGACCCTCCACTGTAAGCTGAGAGGCATGTTGAGTCCATGGAAGATTTTTTTTTCCATAAATTGTTTATTAATCGCAAATTGTATTGGTAACATTTGTAATCCAGAATTATATAAATGTAATCACAACAGCAAGGAAAAAATGTAACCGCTTAAGGATCGCCCTATAGCAGATACACTGCAACAGGGTGGAACCTGTGCGCAAAATCACATATATAAATGTGAATTACCTTTCCAGGTAGCGGATGTCAATCACGGGGTCCCGGCCGGTAATTACCCGCTGGCACCAGGTGATTACCAACAATCACCGATGGGGAGGAAGACTGTTTTGTTTAGCTCGAGCACACTGCTCGGGATGGCTGTGCACAGCACAGCCATCCTGAGCAGTGTGCTTACAGTAAAGCACACACCCCCGCCCCCTAGTAAAAACACTCCCATCACATAGTTAACCCTTTGATCGCCCCTCACATTAACCCTTTCCTGCCCAGTGCCATTAGTACAATGTCAGGGCTTTTTTTTTTAGCACTGATCACTGCATTGGTGTCACTGGGGATACCAAGTTAGTTCTCCCCCAGTGTAAGAATGTCCACCGCAGTCCCTCAATCCTGCTAAAAGTAACTGATTGCCACCATTACTAGTAGAAAAATAAATCCCAGTATTTATACCGCCATTTGTAAAAGCTATAACTTTCATGTAAACCAATTAATGTACACGTATTTGGATTTTTAGCAAAAAAATGTTGCAGAATACCTTTTGGCCTAAATTTATGATGAAATTTGATTTTTAAATTTTTTTTACTGGACATGTTTAACCACCTCCCGCCCGCCATATAGTCCAATGACAGGCACAAGGTGGTTCTCTCGTTCTGATAGGACGTCATATGACGTCCTTCCATTCTCAGCGCGCAGCGTGGCGATCGGCAGTGCGCTGTGTCCCTCGGACACAGCGGATCACCGATCCACGGAAAGAGCAGAAGATGTCGGCTCGGTCATGTGATCAGCTGTGTCCAATCACAGCTGATCACATGTAAACAGGGAAATGCCGGGTTTTTTTGGCATTTCTCTCCTCTCGAGCTGTCACGCTGACAGAGGAGAGGAGAGCCGGTAATCGGTATTCCGCGGAGGGGACAGGTACACTGATCATCAGGGCACTGATGATCAGTGTCCCCTGATGATCAGTGTGGCCCCAGAAGTGCCACCTGTCAGTGTCCATCAGTTCCATCTGTCAGTGCTGAACAGTGCCACCTGTCAGTGTCCATCAGTGCCGCATCAATGCCACATATCAGTGCCTACCAGTGCACATAAGTGCCCATCTGAGCTTCCTTTCAGTGTCACCCATCAGTGCCAGTTAGTGCCACCTATCAATGCCAATCAGTGCCACCTATCAGTGCTGCCAATCAGTGCCGCCTATCAGTGCCAGTCAGTGCCGCCTATCAGTGCCAGTCAGTGCCGCCTATCAGTGCCAGTCAGTGCCGCCTATCAGTGCCATATATCAGTGCTGCCTTTCAGTGCCCATCAGTGATGCCTGTCAATGCCCATCAGTGCCACCTACCAGTGCCTCCTCATCAGTGCCCATCAGTGCCACCTATCAGTGTCCATCAGTGCATCTTATCAGTGGCCATCACTACAGCCTCATTAGCGCATATCAGTGAAGGAGAAAAATAACTTATTTACATAATTGTATAACAAAAACTAAGAAAAAATTGGGTATTTTTTTCAAAATTTTCTGTGGTTTTTGGTTTGTTTAAGAATAAATGAAAATCCCAGAGGTGATTAAATACAGCTAAAATAAAGCTCTACTGTCACAAAAAAATGATAAAAACTTCATATGGGTACAGTGTTGCATGACCGCGCAATTGCCATTCAAAGTCTGACAGTGCTGAGAGCTGGAAATTGGCCTGGGCAGGAAGGAGGTATAAGTGCCCTGTAGGCTAGTGGTTAATAGCAAAAAGTCCAAAATATAGTTTTTTTCTCAAAATGTTGGCCTTTTTTTGCTTATAGCGCAAAAAATAAAAAAAAAAACACACTGGTGATCAAATACCACCAAGAGAAAGCTCAATTCTTGGGAAAAAAAGAGACATAAATTTAATTTGGGTGCAGCGTTGACTGAACGCGCAGTTGTCAGTTAAAGTAATGCAGCGCTGTAACGCAAAAAATGGCGTGGTCAGGAAGGGGAGTAAATCCTCAGGAGGGCAAGTGGTTAAAAAAGAAAAGAAAACATGAACATTGGTATACAACATAGTACAACCAAATATGACCTGTTATGGCCATTACAATAGGGAAATAAGGGTGCAGGCCCTGTACAGCAGCAAAGTGCATACATTTGCAAAGTGGGCCTGTTATGCTAATAGTATAGGTACAAAGTGCAGCAAACAGCTTTTCAATAAACTTGTTTTGCTGAACATGCAAACATAATAGGGCTTAGACAGAGAGAGAAATAGAGAGAGGAGAAGAAAAGAGAGAGAAGAAGAAAAAAAAAAGAAGAAGGAAAGAGAAAAATGGAAGAACATAGAGCGTGTTTCAGTCCTCCTCTCCCATTTGCAGGAGCCTTCTAAATTTAAGAAGCTAGATCTTCTTCTACTGATGGTATCTGGGGGGGGGGGGGATATCCAGGGCAAATCTCCCCAAAGGGTCTGTCTGGGCATCCATAAAAAACCCTTTCCAGATAAATCGTTTAAGTAGATCTCAGATAGTCCTCTGTGGACTTAAAGTGAATCCAGTCAGACCAGGTAGCATGAAATTTCTGTATACTTTCATGTGAAACATGAATTAGCTCTTCCATTTCCTCAGTTTTTTTAATTCTCAAAAACCATTCTCTAATTATTGGGATAGCCTGCAAGTGCCAGTGGGTTGGTATGCATATTCTAGCCGCGTTCACCATGTGCATAGCAAGGGATTTGAAATATTCCTTTCTGGGGAGAGTGGAGTGATATAATTGATATTGAGACAGTAAAATCCATAGGCAACGCTGTGATGTGACAGATTGTTTTATGGGCAGATAACCAAAAAGATGTCAAAAGGTCACAACTCCATCAGATATGAAGCATGGATCTCTCCTTTCTGCCACACCTCCAGCAGAGGTTAGATACTGTGGGGTAACACTTGTAGGATCGTTGGGGTCTGCCTATACCATCTGGTCCTGACTTTATAAGCGTTTTCCTAAGTGAACCTTTATGAACAGACTCATTAAGCTTTTCCCCAGTCATCATCTGTGAATGATAACTGGAGTTGTTTTTCCCAGGCCTATCTTGCTCTATCTGTTACAGCTGGAGAGTTGGTTAGCAACATAGAATATACTGCCGAGATCAAATGACGTTGGGGGCGCTTTTGAGTACACAGAGAAAGCCGTTAGGGACCTAGCCCACAATGGATCTCCACGGAAAATTTTATTTTTTGCCACAAATGTTTGGTACATTTTTTTCTTACACAAAATTATCACTTAAATTATATATTGCTCATAAATGCCATAGGTATATGTGGAATATCAAACCATAACACATTCTTCTACTTCTCCTCTACTGTATGGGGATACAACATGTGAGAGCCTTTTGGCAGCCTAGCTACATACAGGCCCCGAAAATCCGAAGAGCACCTCCAGACTTTCAAAGGGCATATTTCCTCATGTCACTTCCTCACTACCTATCACAGTTTTGGAGGCCCTAAAATGCCCAGATAGTACAAACACCCCCCCCCCCAAATAACTGCAAAGCGATCACATGACCACTAGGTCCCGTACACCAGGATCTTCATTCAGCTGACGTGGGGGAGAGGGTTGCACCCCCTCTATGTTGGAGCAACACCAGTGACATATGGGTACATTGCTGGTCCTGTAGTTTCCACCTGTCCACGTACATTGTGGGTGGAAAGTGCTTAAACATGTTTATTAGTATATAGTAATTGACGGCTTCACACTTTTTGACTCTTCCACACTTTTCTGCAGTATTGCAATGTGCTACTGCACGTCTTAAAAAATGGGATACCAATGCTTTGAAAAGAATAGAAATATACTGGTGTCATTTTAGTAATGCAGCACCCCACAGTGCACAGCATAGGTGTCATGGTGCACTGCAGCATGCGTATGTAGCCAGCAACTATACTTGTGATTGGAGTGCCATTCTAATTTAATGGTATCACAACACACTAACCCTTTAGACTCTCTTCGAAGCACCTGATTACAACTTTGTTCAAACATTTTTCTTCTGTTATGTTCTTGCTCTGAAAGATGATCAGGGCAACTCTAATCAAGTACAGGAAGCAGTTGTTACAATGTATCTGTTTGCAACATTTGTCCTTAGGATGACCACACAGGCTGGAGGAACTGGGAAGGAAGGGTTAACTATGTTGACCAAGTTTCCCCACCATTTTTGTAAGATTCATCACCACCTTCAGGTCATACCGTATAAATAGGGGTCCGAGAGAGAGAGGCCTGGGGAGTCCTGGAGAGATAATTGTCAAGATGTATCTGTTTTGTTGCTGGAGTGATCCCCCATGTGAGTACCCAGTTGGGGTTCCAGGGGATCTGGATCTGCATGGCCTTATCCTAACATCTGCTAGACTTTGTGTGGATTACTGCTTGTTGGACTCTTGCTTTATTTTTAGCTATGCTGCTAAATTAGATTACCTTTTGGGCACTTAGAGAACTCTGTACAGGAGTGTGTGTTGTGCATGCATGGCGTATCAAAAGAACAGTGCTTTTATAGGGGAACTAGAGTTAGAGAAGATATACTACATTAAGTCTAGCAGGTAGGATGCGGTAATTGTATAATTTGCTAAATTCAGCCAACCAGCCAGGAAATGGGTGACAGGCAAGGGTGATGGTCACTCTGGTAATGAAGGGGTGTTTTGCTTGGCCCTCCACTAGAGACGGGTTCCCACATACTGGGGCCAACCTTATAGCACAGAGTGTCTAGGGACTTAGCTGGGAGTCAAGGGAGAGAGAGATGTACAGGGGCCGCTAATTGGAGAACAAGCATGCAGTTACAGTAAAAAGTGTTTTCCTGTATCCAGTAGCAAGTCACTGGGAGTAAGGAGCGAGGAATTTCTGGGTTGGTGGAGACAGGTACAGGCTCTGCAGTACTGGTTTCTAAATGGTGCACATCTGGAGATGTGGTGTTCTCTATCAGTAGCCGTGGCTAGAGTGTTAAGAGTTAACAGTGCAAGGGTTTTGGCCTTCATGGGATACATATCCAATTTATAAAGACTAAAGGCTTGCAATGGTAAAAAACACCTGTTCCAAACAAATTAAACACGATTGTATATTTATACTCACATATGTGAATTGAATGTTCCAGTGAGAATGAGAAATCATCATGAGATAAAATAACTAACACAATTCTTTTTTTTATATATATATATAATTTGAAGAGGGATTAGAAGAAAGTCCATAGTGGGGGCAGAGTCAGGATTCCAGGCTGGGTGATTCAGATCATCAATGTCCACCTATAACGGTAATGTCAGTTTTCAATGTATTAACTCAAAGTAAATTACCTTTGCAGCAGTCCATGTGGGCAAACTGTCTTGTTTGTTCACTTGTCTTCCAAAAAAACTGACAGTTTTAAACATTTCTTATACAAAAAGCATACAGAGTTGCTGTTGAAATGCTGTTGTACTTGTGGTTTACAGCATGTACATAATTGACATGAGGGTTTAAACTTATTGATCGCTTTTATAGAAGGAAAATTGCCTTCAGCAGATGATATCTTGAGAACTATACAACTCCAGATAGGGACTGTGCACAAATAAATAAAACTTCTCTATTTACAAGAAGCATCTCTGTATTAATAATGCTAAGAAATCCAATTCCAATAAAGATAATGGTCTACTGTATATCTAGATGTAGATTAAATACATGAATTCTATGCATTGTGTGAAATGATTTCGTTTTATATAAAAGAACACCATAAATCAATGTATTGTTTGTGGATAGGATACAGGATAGATTTCTGCTTGAATAGTTACATAGAAAGATACCAAATGAGAATGCAGTTTCAGACAGGTGTGTTGGAAGGCGTATGTGAGTCTGGAGCAAAAAGAACAAAATGGATCCCCATTATAAATCACAAAGCGCTATTTTGTATTTAGGAAAGAGCATGTATTATGTTTTTCAAGAACAAGCAGAAAGTCATTTATAGTCCAAATACATTCTTTTAAGGACATAATACAGTATTAAAGGTATAGTCCAATAACATATGAAATGTCTGCCGTTGGAACTAATTCAAGCCATTGCCACCTCTCGATATAGAAGCAGCTACAGGAGTGGCTACAGAAAGAGGCACAAGAGTGCCTGCTGGGCATTCAGGAGGCAATGCCGCAGCCTTCTGAATGCCAGTTTTTATTTTTGACAGTGGAATGGTGATTGTGAATGGGGATATCACACTGCAACAGCAAGTCTAGCATTTGGAATAACTTCAATGAGTCATATTTGACATACACTGC